TTTTTTTTATTTAGGGAAAAAAAAAAGTGAATCAGGAAATTCTTATCAGGCTGACAGCATTTTTAGACTATGCAGTGCGTGGGTGAAGTGGGACTAATATTGACTTGGCCCTAATGTAGTCATCTGAGAATACATTTTTTGGTTGTTGCTGCATTCCATAAGGTTTTATCATTATTATCCATGAAGATTGTTTTCTCCGTACATGGGAAGTGACCCCTAATATCAACTTGCCTGGGAGACACGAATATGGGCTAAAACATTAAAATTCCTATCGTGTGTTACTGGTTGGTTTTTTTTTTTACTGTTGGGAGAGTGAGCGCGTTTGCAGAAATGATACTCCAGCAAACTTTTCCAGGTTGCTCACATTATTCACCGTAAATGCAGGCCCTGGAAAACTTGTGAATTTTGTCTGTTGCAGTGTGCCTTCGCTATTATTTCTTCTCTAATCTAGGTCACAGCTTTCGAAACCTTCCATCTATTCAGTAATTCTAGTTATGAACTTTGTATTTGAATATCTGGAGTTCCAGTTGTTAGCCTCTGTGATCTGGAGGGAAAATAAATAAATAATCTCAAATAACTTGACTCTTTGACTAAGAGACCTAGAAGTAGAAAACTGCAATTGAAACTTTGGTGAACTTTTTGGCATTTAACTCTGTAGGTGATCAGCAGTATTTCTCTTCCATATCTGGAGTGTAGAATACGTAGTACATGAAAATCTATTAAACGATCATTAGCAGCTGTGTCACGCTCAAGCGCAGTTGTTTCTTATTTTTAAACAGAATCATGAAGTTTCTCTGTCAGCTGGAAGGAGCACCGTGTATGAAATGTCCCAGAGGCACCCTGATGAATGCCAAAGTTTCTTGAAATTTCATTTTAAACCAACTAAGTTCTTGTGGGTTATGCTACTTAAGAAAAGTGGAGGTAGATATACAAGGCAAGAAACAGATAGCTCTGTTGAGCCAATACAGCTTATGAGTTGTGGCCAGCACAATGTATCCCATTACCACCAAAAAACTTTCTAAACCTTGCTTTCCTACATGTTATTGACAATTTGTTTTAGTTAATGCTGCTTGTGCCAATTTTCCTGAGATATTTGGAGTTGGAGGGTCTTCACAAACTAGTCGAATGTTAGGCTGGAAAATCAAGCTGTTGTTGCTGAACTAAGAATGTGGCACCCTCTAATTCTAGTAGCTGTGAACTTTAGAGCATTTTATGTATTTTCTCTGATCCAATGCTTTTTAAATACAAAAAAAAAAAAAAAAAAAGTAAGCATAGAATGGACTCCTTATGCATCCGTAGCCATAGTGGAAAGATTTATTGTTCAGGTAACGTATGACATTTTGCAAATCTCTCTTTCTTCAGAATTGTCCTGTCAGGGACATTTAATCAACTGGTAAAAAGCAGAAGAAAGAATGATGAAGAATCTGTTACCAGGTTTTTGTTTCTTGCACATGTGTTCAACATGTAAAATGCTTCTGCACTCTTCGTGAGGATGATGACCGTTTTAAAGAATGTTCTTTGCTGGACTTAAAACTGTGGCTTAAAAATAACAGCGAGGGAAGATGAATTAGTGGGATATCTTAAAAATAAAGCTCTGCATTGGAGCTGATAAAGTGGAGCTCACTCTTAAAATATCCGAGGACTCCATTGAAGCATTTTTCAGTGTTGTTGTACTATGTTGTCTTTCGGTACCCAGTAAAACAATTTGTTTCCTGAGAGAGAAAGCTCCTCTTGCTGTGCTCCTGTTGGCTTCCCTTTCTTCCTCAGTGTGAGGAGATGTAGGTGTGTTATTCTAACTAAGCTTGTGCATCTTTGCAGGTATTTGTAATAAATCTGTCACAAACATGTAATCGGTTATGCCAGCTTGCAGTATCAGTTTTGTATCCCTTAAAAAGCAAAGCAAGCGCCTTCGGTGTGGAGCTGCTGTTGCAGATCTACAGGCATAAATTCTGGGCCACAGTGTCTCTCCAGAGAGGTAACCATCCCGTTTCTATAGGTCATGTGCTGCATATGTGGGTCAGGAGAAGTGTCTCCACTCCAGAAACAAGCTGGCATCGTGTCACTGCCCTGCACTGAAAGGGGTTTGAATGGATGTCTCTCCTTTTTTTTTTTTTTTTTTTTTTTTTAAATAGATCTTGGATTGCTTTTAAATGATGCACCCATGTTGTGCAGAAGTGAATTTTTTTTTTTTTTTTTTTTTTTTTGTAAGAGATGGGCCACCATGCCTTTTTAAAGTTACCCCACTCTAAGGTTATTCCCACATTTCTGTATCTGTAGTTTTCACTCCCTTAAAATAAGCACAAAACTGATTTTTGCCTTGCACAGCAATGCAGAATTTCTGGAAGCTTAGCTTTCACCAATCTGTAGCCAAGACAGGACGTGCTGGCAAATTAATTTAGATAGGATTTTTTTTTTAAAAAGTGCTTAGTGGACTGAAGCCTGAATTCCTACTGAATGTTAATGGCAGTGGAGGCTTAGCACCTTAGATCTTTCAGATTGCTGAAGTCCAGGATGTTTGCTGAAGTAAGTGGAGTATGGATATGTACACACTCACATGGTGCCAGACAGAACTGATGAAAGTGGGGTGTGGCCCTAATTCTACAGATAAATCAGGGTTTCCATATTCCTTTGCCAAAAGGCAGAGCGAGCGTGTGCCAGTGTTACAGTAAGAAGGTGTTCCTGTGCATGGTGAGGAGCCATGACTGTGCAAGTGTAAAGCCCTGCAGAATGACAAAATTAAAACTCTCCTCATTGTAGGCTTTCCTGAGGGGCTGTGCAGCTGTATTAGTAAGTTTTGGCTTTCCTATGGGTTGAGTGAGGAATGGGTGTAACAGAGCTGCTCGTTCAAAGAGTCTCTGGAAACACATAATCGGTGAAGAATCCCATTGTATTCTTGGCGCATAAGAAATGCCGTGATGCCTTGCCATGCCCTGTCAATCTAGGTATAGCAAGCTGCAGAGCTGAGGCTAAGGTAGGATTCACCCTGGCTGACTAACAGCTGAGCTTAAGACCTTTGAAATGGGAAGTTACAGTAAATGGTAGTTTTGGAATTTCTCCATGGTATGTAGATGTAGTGAGCTAAGCCAACACCATCCTTGCTAAATCAAGTCTTGCATAAAGAGTTGTGATATGCTCAAGTCAGACTTGCTGCTGGCAGTGCTGTAAACAGACTTTTTTCCAGATAAGGGCTTGTCTCCATTAGCAAATTAGGTCACTAACTCAACTCTTCCTTCCAAACTAACAACATTGCAGACAAGGACAAGTCTCATTTAATGTTGTGTCAGATGGCTGTAGCTAAACCCTAATTCCTGTGCTGTAACTTAGTTTTTCTGTAAAGCTCTTTGTATCACATGCTCACAACTTTGAGGATGGGCTTGTTATACTGCTTATACTGTGTGGCAGTCTGCAGTATCTAACACAGCAGATAACAGCAGAAGATAGCTTCACAGTTAATTTTTTGTTGTTCAGCTGCTTTCTCAAGGCTTATTCTGAAGCCTGGTTGTTGCCCTGCTCCTGACTTCGCTGGAAACTGGATGGGACCTATGTAACTCACTCTTAAAGGCCGCTCTCAGAATTACAGGGTATAAAACCTGGATTAAGTCTTGCCCTGTGTGTGGGCTTTTGTTAGTTTGTTTTGTCTTATTTAATCCCATCAGACACTGCTTTACTTTGTCGTTCTGATAGGGACCAAATTCTATATGACCTTCCTCTATCTACATAAAAATAGAGCTTTAGATTTTAATGGTATACCTCTGTTTAGATGTACAGTAAAAGAGGTATAAATGAATTCTTTTACCGCAGCTTCCCTCCATCAGCAGAGCATAGCAGGAGCTCCAGGCTCTACTGCTGCAAATCCAGTGGCTCACCTGAAAGCAAGTGTGTGACTTTGCTCTTGCCTTGCTCATTTGCAAGGGTAGAAGATAGCATTTCATGTTTTCAGAGCATGCTGTAAATACTGCTTTTAGGCCCAGCATTCCATCCTCTGATTGCTTGAAATTGTCTTCTTCCTTGAATACTTTCTGTGTTATCAATAGGAGCCTGCTTGGCAGACCGCTCCACAAACGGAGGACTGTCCGTTATTTGCCTCGAGTTTGTTGCTGAAATTCCTTCTCAGAAGCTTATGTCAAATGACAGCCTTTTTCTCAGGATAGGGTCATATACTGTTTCCTCAGTATAGCTATTCTTTATTTTTGGTTCCTGTTCTTTCTCTCATAATGGAAAATCTGTAACAGGTGGCCACAGGCACACCAGACTTTCATGCTTGGGAACATAAAGGACCATATGCCATATGACGGCATGTATGGAGATAATAAGTTGTAGGAACAGGCGACCGGCTTATATGTAAAACAAGAGCTGGCCTGAATTTTCAATTCAAACTTGGCTAAACTAAAACTCTCCATTCTCAGCCGTGCTTGGTTGTTTGTCTGTTTTGCTGCCTACTAGCTGGTTTCAGCTGGAAGTGGATTTTTTTCAATTTGCGAAGAGGAATGTTCTGACATTTTTACCAGACACGCTGGGTGAGATCCGGGACCCTTGAAGTCAGTTCGACTTTTGCCATTGGCTTTAATGTGGCCAGAATTTCACTGCATGAGAACTGCTTTGCTTGGTTCTGGATAGGTTATGTCAGAAAATAACAGGCATCTTCAAGATGGGTGGATTTTTTTTGTGAAATTTTGGACCACATGCTTTCTTAGTCTAAAAGTGGTCATTCTTCGTCCAGAAGACAGGACGATGCTTATCCAGCATAAACCTTCTCTTTAATATTGCCATATTAGTGGTGATTTGCTATTGATCTTTAGTTTCCTTTTCTTAGACAGCTTGAAGCAAGAGTTTAAATTCTCTTTGGAAGACTCTGTTTGTGAATATATGAAATAACAAAATAATGTCGGTTTAAGGTGAATTCAGCCCATGGTGTACAGCATAATTTACCCAGAGGTTGTAGCATTCATCCTTCAGCCACGGACTTGGGTCTGTTATCTAAGCTGGCATCAGGTGATATAGACATTGGATTTCCCTATTTCCCAGTAGGCTAAACTGACTTTTAATTCTGTATTCTGGGTCTTGGCCAAGATGAGATTTTGTGTGTTTGTTTTGTTTTGTTTTTCAGAAGCTGCTTAATCTCAGTCCCTAGTTTTTAAGTAAGAGAGCGGTGGAATTCATGAATATATGAAAGTACTGGAGATCTGAACATAGGGAAGAAATAACATTGTGTTTGGTCGGAAAATACTCTTTGTAAAGATCTTACAGATACTGTTGGCTGCTTAAATATATGCCAGAACTGTTCATATGAAAAAAGCACAAGTGAAACTGGGCTAGCCCGGATTAGTTATCAGAAACCTAACCTGTTTGTTTTTTTTGTTTTGTTTTGCTTTATTCCCCCACCCCCACCCCATGTTGGTGGGATAAATTAATTTAGCAGTTGATGATCTTGCATGCTTTTCCACTCACACAAGTGCAGTCAGAAATGCTATGAAAAGATTACTTTTGAAGTAAGACAGAATTTGAGTGCAGGCAGGGTATTATAAGGGAGTTAGGGAGAGAAAAAACCTTATTAAAGAATACAATGGAAAGGATGTATATATGATGCATACAAGGAACCCTTCTCAAGTCATTTATCTCACTGTAGTCACTTACTTAGAGAGTCCTATAATTACAGGCTGATAGTAGATCTGTATCTGATCACAGGCTTGATGCAGTTTTGAAAAATCTTTTAATTTAGAACACTTATCCTTTACAAAAAACCTCACCACAAACCACAACTTTTCACTGTAAATAACTTCAGTCCATACATGAGGCCTTGTATTTGTCCGTCAGTACTACCATCTTTTTTCTTACATGGAAAGTAAAGAAGTACTCAGATTTGGTGTTTTCAAAACGAACTGCTCAGAATATCTTGTAATTACTGCCCATGGACTGGAGGGGAGGGAAGAGTTGAAATGGAAAATGACTTAGATTCTTAGGCTGTGGAAGGGGGAACATTCCTGCACAAAGAAGCAACTCTGGAGATAAGTTTTAATTTCCTGAGATCCAGTCTCTATATAGGAACACTGAAAGACTTCCTTCCTGATAACCAAGTCAAGCCAGAGGCTATATTAAACAAAGTGTTTCTGTATATAATTGCATGCTTGTATATGTATCACCGTATAAATACAAATAGTGTATCTACAATGATACAAGTCAACTTTTCAATTTGTTGCATGTATCCAGGGTCTGGCACATATGCTGTGCCTGAGATATCGTAATGTATCAATATCTGTTTAGACTTCTATAAAGGATCTCTTTCATATTTTGTCTTTATGTAAAAACCAAACCAACCAAAGACAAAAATGATAAAAACACTCTCCCCAACCACTTGTCTTGCATTTTTAAGAGGATCTGGGTTATGGCGCACCTTTAAGAATGATCAGGTCACTGAGGTAGATGTGTTACAGATTTCTAATGCATGCATCTCCTATATACGCAGTATTGTTATAACCATTTTTGTCTCACTAACGTCTCATCGTTCTGTGATTACTTAGGCAAAACCATGAAGCTCAGTATGAGTGATATCTTAGTAAGCACTTCAGGAACAGATATTAGGAGACTTTATTTGTTTACAGAGGGCACAAAGCATTACAAAAAAGTATAGGTCGCCCCAAATTCTGCATTTGCAAAAATTAGTTTCAGAGCCTGAGAGTACGTTTCCTTTTAGCGATTAGTTTCTAGTAAAACTGTTTTAATTTGCTGTTTCCATCTTCGGTTCTTTCATTTTTTAAAGTGAATTCTACAGTTTTTTGTTATATATCACGGGATTTGGGGGTAAAAATATATGTCTAAATAAGTAATATTGGGCTAAGCAGCACAGTTTGTGAAGCACAGATTTACTTGAATTCTAGACTATTGTTTAGATATCCCAAACTGTAAAATAAAATTACTTGCATCCCTCATTGCAGTTTGTGCAACAGCATCACAATTAAAGATATTACTGAGCTGTTACATTTATCAGTTAACCTACTGGAATGCCAGATATATTGCTTAATTTCAATGAGCTTTTAGTATTATAGGTTTCAGTTCCACTTGTCAATAGCTCTTTCTTACAATTAATTTTTTCATAGCCATTCATAATTAAGAATTAGCCCCAGAGTATTTCTTTTGTATCACAGTGAGAGAATTTGTATTGGTTTATATTGATTTTAAAAAGCACCAAATGTAAATATATTGATAGGATACAAGATCGAGAAACGACTTTCAATTATTTCTAAATCAGACAAGCCTATTTATTGTATAAATGGAACTTTATAGACTGTGTAGCTGTTTAACTTTTTCTTTAGAACAACTTTGGAAAAAGGGAAAAAAGCCATAAACTTAAAGAGATTCTGATGGCACTCAAGTGTTGCCAAGCAAACCATAAAAGATAAGTCAAACTCTAATTCTATAGAAAAGCTATGAAATACTTCTACATATGTGCTGTAGTTGTTTTTGGGTTCCTGAAGCTGCTTGTGTGTAAAGTCAGCTGTGGAAATGGCTAGCTAGCTAAAAGCTATGATTCCTGCAGCTTGACTGTTGCAGGGAGATTTTTTTTCTGAGAAAACAGTTGTAAAGTGGAACATCTGAAAAATATGTTCCATGCAAAATGGATCTTCACACACATTTATTTTGACATTTACATTTGATTTGAGAGAGAGAGAGAGAGAGAAGATTCTGAAATAGCCATTCACAGATGTCTTGTGTGGGTTTTATTTTTTTTATATGCTTCTCTGTGTTTTTGGTTTGGGGTGGATTTTTTTGCATGTGTTTGCAGACTTGTCAATCCCCGTTTTTCCCCCAGACGACATGTTTAATTTTTTATGACTTGAATTTTTTGGCCTTTTTTCCAGAAGCTGAAATTTGAAAAAGAAAAAAAAAGGGGGGG